ACTTGTTTTAATTGTAGGGAGGACATTTTTGTTTTGGTTGTTTTTTTTTTTTTTTTTTTTAAATAGCAATAGAGTCACTTTTTAGTGTTTGACCCCCTCTCCTCCAGAAAATATTTTAATGGTGCAGATAAGTTACTAAAGAATTCAGAAGATGTATTTGATATCCATACAATGCCAGAGCTGTTCAAACAGAACTTATCATAGAGATTTTGTCCTGCTGATTGGAAACTTTGATATAGTATAAAGTATGTAGTATGTGTGATAAGTGAAGTAGTAAAGGATCGCCATATTGTTCTGATCTCCATGACAACAGCCAATAGCTTGCTACTGTTAATGACCAATTTAGGGTATATTGCTATTAAATTCTACCCAACCTTTCTACCAGTTAAACCTGAACTCCAGATAAATATAAACTGCAATTTACTGCTGGTGTGAAATCCTTTCAAGCTAAACTCTAAGTAAAACAAAAGGTATCCTGAGAGGGGAATTAACACCAGAATTGCGGAGGTACGTTGACTTGAGTTTGTATAGTCCATTGTGTTGCATTACATTGCAGGTTTTTTTTTTTTTTTTTTGGGGGGGGGGGGGTTTTTTTTTTTTTTTTTTTTTTTTTTCCATAAGTTATTGGTTCTGCCTTCCGTTGACTTGTGTTAGCAGTTCCCACCAGTCCATCACATTGCAGTGTGCTGAAAAAAAGTAGAGCCTGGTCTAATTTTTTTTCAGCGGAGGGCAGCACAACGCTAACACAATGGACTGGTGTAAACTGCTCCAATTCACACCCATTAATTCTCAGAGTGGGACTCCCCTCTGCACTGTAAGGATTACATTTATTCATAGGGTACCAATAAAAGGGACTTTTACTTACCTAATCTCTCGCTTCTGCAAGCTCCCTCCACACTATAAGCCTCTTCTCTAAGGTGTTCTGGTAGTCGCAGGTACTCTGATGTCATCAAGTACACTACAGGGCCAATAGTCCTGCATTCTACATGAGGATGCCGAGGGACCTCCCACAAGCAAGAGCATCAGAGGGAACAGTTGAGTGGCAGCTGCCGGGAGAGTGAAGAATCAGGTAAGTACCTTTTTCTTTTTTTACTGGTACCCTAGGCATAAACAAGCATTTAATCCTTGTAGGGTGGAGGGAGCCTCACTGCAAGGGTAATTTTTTTGTTTTCCCCAAAATTCAGCTTCAAAGTGAAAGGCAATAGCCACACCTTATCTGTCTCTAAACTACTGGTCAAAGACACACAGAGAAAGCAGTGACATATTAATGTAACAGGATATTTCTAATGCGTGAGCTATGGTTGACAGCCTGGCTGTACCTTCTCCATGTCTTGTCAAATACAAGATGTTAGAGGTCAGTGGTTTAACGTATTAAAACATCAGCTTAACCACCAGAGGTTTAGAAGGAAGGAAGGAATGGTCAGCAGTGGTAGCCCACATAGTAGGCTTTTCTCAACTGCAACGATTTTTCTTTTTAATAAAGTAATTGCAGGAATGTCATGGGTGCAAATTGGACTCCTTAAGCTGTGGTTGGTTTATTCCCATAATGGACAACCTCACAAAAAAAGTCCACACCGGTTTTCCCTCGCAGGGGTTTTCAAGCATAAAGTAGTTTTTTTTTCTTCATCCAAAATAACACTTTCAAAGTCCACCAACTTTAGGGTGTCTGATTATTAGGGATGAGCTTCGCGTTCGAGTCGAACCTATGTTCGACTCGAACATAGCATGTTCAAGCGTTCGCCGAACACCGAACATTATGGGATGTCCGCGGTCTGTTCGACCGCGGCACATCCCACAATGCACTGCGCCGTCCGAAGCGGCAATTGGCTACAGTCCTGCACCTGACCGCATATCAAATGCCTTTCCCACACAGGCTGTCCAGACTGCCTGCCACACAGGCTGCTTTTCACCACACTGGTGATATGCTCCTCAGTCTGCCAGGCTCCTGGTTCCAGGGTGGAGACCTCCTGACCCCTGCACAGAGACCTCCTCTGTCTACCAGGTGGAACCCTGAACATTAGCCAGCATCCTCCTCATGAGGGCTGTGCAAAGGTGCACCATCATTTGATGCTGGTCCCCACTAAACCCCGGACCCAGGATTGGAGATTTCATTCCTCCCAATGCTCTTTGAAATCTCCCAGTTCCAGGAACCCAAGCCAAATCCGGAAAACCTGGGAAGAACTACAAAGCCAGCTCTTTCCCAGTAAAAGTTTGCGCTTTGTGGAACTGCTCAGCCCCCCTGGCTGATTGGCCAATCAGCATTGAGTCGGCTAAACAGCATGGAACCAGCTTCCCGAGCAACCAAGAAGCCAGGTGCGGGTTAATGACAATGCTAGCGGAAATACCAGTATCGGTACTCTGTATTAGCCACAGATCTCTGTCATTGATATAAGAATGCATTATTATAACAACTGAACGATGAAAATTCCGGGGTTGATTTACCAAATGCAAGCAGGCTGTTCGCTTTCCAAGTAAATTTGTACTTTGCAGAGGGAGTCTCACCTTAGTTTAGTGAATAAGGTGAAGCTCAGCTGACTTCCATCACCCAGTCATGTGCAAGCAAAAATACTGTTTTTTTGTTTTTGTTTCCTTGTTCATGATTGGGTATTCTTTGCAAATTCCCCTTGCAAAGTGAAAATGCCCTTTGAAAAGTGAACATCTGATTTACCTATAGTAAATAAACCGATCAGAATCTTACAAATGACTATTTATGACTGTACCTGGTAAAATAAGCTTGTCAATAACCTGGGAGATTAACTAACAGCTACCTCCAGTAACAACTACACATCAAATCAGTCAGTAGACCAAGATATATATGTAGTAGGTTGATGCACATATCAACTTTTCTTTCTACTCTAGCTGCCTAGATAAGTGTGACTCTGCTACCTTCAACAGTTGTGGCATTATCATAACCTCACGGGAGGACATTTGTATGTTTTGGTTCCTGTTGGGGTTGGAGGAAATCAGCAGATGACTATACTGGACACTGTTTCTGAAGTTTGTAAACCAGTTGTGGGTGGACATATAGTGGAAATTCACCCTAGAATTACTTTATGAACATGAAACAGTCATAAAAACATGTGCTTTGATACATGCATAACACCATATTAGAATTCTGTCAACACTGATTGCTGGACAATCAGCATTGAAATCTGTTTGCCCTCTGACAGTGACAACTCATAGTGTTGCTAAGCCCTCCCATGGTATCAACATCTTGTGATTGCACTCTCATGGGAAATGCTTCCCTCTGCCCTGATGCTGTCAAAGACGTAGATAGCATGGGTGCTGCAAATCATGGACCCCCTGGTAAATAGCTGGCAGTTTCCAATGGTGATTGCTGGACAACTATAGCAAGACAGAATTAAAAATGCTATACATTTATCAAGGTACTTGTCTTATATGGCTGCTTAATGTTCATTGAGCAATTCTAGAGATAACTTACACTATAACTCTTAATGCAAACCTGTACATTGAGGCAAGATAATACATTTCTTATAAAGCATTTCCTACCAAGAGCACATACTTACCTTAAAGGATAACTAAACCCAAGAACAGGATGGCTGAGCAGTGAGGAGAGAGAGATGCTCGGCCAGGATCTGACAGCCAGTGGCTCTCTCTCCTTATTGCTTGTCCATCCTGAAGTGACAGCGCTCCCTCCTCTGCCCCCTTCCTCCCCCACTGGCTTCAGCGTTCAGGATGGCAGAGCGGAGGATCAGTAAATATATGTGATATTTACCGATCCTCTGTGTGCAGCACAGCTGATCACTCCAGCGTTTGTAAATAACTGGGGGCGCATAGAACTATGTGTCCCCAGTTATGAATGAACAGGAAGTGCTTTACATCACTTCCTGTTCATTCATGAGTTTCTTAATGGGTAGTAGCACTCACTATAGAGGCTTCTCCCCATTCATAACTGGTTGGTAGTAAATATTTTACTATCACCAGGTTCTCAATGAATGGGAAGCTTCTGTACTGAGTGCATTCCATTCATTTAGAAAAGATGCTACAGAAAAAGAGATTGAGGACTCTGTGTCCTCAATTTATTTTTCTATTTCAAAAGGGAAATGCCAAGGGTCTGTTTAAAACCCTAATATTTCCCCGAAACAACAGTAAAAAAAAAAAAAATGTAAGTAACACACACACACACACGTATTATTACACACCCGCAAAGACTAAAATTTTGTTTCGGACTAAATGAACAGAGACTAAAAATGTTTTCATTAGTTTCGTCAAACGAAACAGTCTTTTCTGTGCATGCGCGCCACCATCTTGGAGCGTGGGAGAATGGCGTCACATGATGCCACGCATGTGCAGCGCCGGGAGACATTACACATCTGTTGGTGGGCACAATTTGCTGTTCTTGTCTCGGGCACAAAAGGAGCTAGCAACGGCTCTGCTTGATCAATACAGTGGAGAAATGAGTGTAGGCACAAAGGGACAGGAAGTGTGTCATGCACAGGATCACAAGGTCAACATAAAGGGAAAGACCTTGAATAGAAATGAATGCAGTCACCATGTCTAAGAACTGGAAAACTGAACTATATACTAATCCTGTTTTTGGGTTTAGATATGCTTTAACTTCCCTCTCCTGCCACCTCAGCTTTGAGTTATGAGAACAAGAAGCCAAGAGCTTACATAGGGATGAGGATTCTGTACCCAACTCTACATGACTATGCTGGGCCAATCACTAAGCACTGGTGCTGTCATATTAGAGAAAGTGGAACAAGTCACATGCTGCCTATTCCTGGAATGTCAGGTATTTTCTTCAGCTCTGATGGCTGAATGGAATGACAAGGGCATAAGGAAAAGATGAGCGTTACTTTACCACGCGTGGGCAAAGCAGAGGTTTGCTTGAATTAATAGTCTAAACTATGCATAGGGTAAAAGTATCATTATGACTTGATATTAGAAACATGTTTTGCAAAGCCTGTTTGTTAAAAATATGAGTATTGTGAATTGTGTGCACTCTGTTCACTGTCTATATCTTCCTCCCTCTACAGAAAAGGTTGGTAAACCGACAATCACAGCTTCTATCTCAAATCCCAAAGAAAATGATACGGTGACCCTCACCTGTACCTCTACTCATGCGGAGAGGATAGTATGGAGCAGAGTCCCCTCTGGAGCCACCTTGTCCTCAGATAACAGGACCATCTCCTTCTCCATGATTAACCGTTCAGATGCAGGAGATTATAGTTGTACGGCTGCCAACCCTGTCAGTAAGGACAACAGTGACTCCTTCCAAATAACTGTAGCATGTAAGTCTGTATTTCTATATTTTTTATGATATTACATATTCCATTTTATTTATAGGAAATAATTACAAAGTAACCGATGGTTTGTTAATTCTGAACCTTATTTCGCTGCCTTATTTAGCTCATTGTGTATTTATTGCCAATACTTTTTTGGCTTTGAATAGAGTAGGGAAGGGTTACCCTCTGCTGAATGCTTCCTGCTGGGAGGCGTTCCCTTCACTTCCTGTCTTGAAGATGCAACAGGAAACAAAAGGGAAATATAACCAAAGTGGGGAATATTCCCATCTGTTGTCACCAGAATATTTTTTCGCCTTGGAAGACACTAGAACTAGATCATCACTAAGGTGTATGAGCGCAGTGCTGTTTTGCAAATAAAATTGATCTCTACATCCTACTCAGGTGAAAACTCAAACATTTTGGTTTTCCTTTTGTCTCACCAGGCAAATAAAGGGGTGAATCTCCCCAGCAGGGATACAATGCATACGTGAAAGACAGTCTAACCCTTCCCAAATCTATCCTAAACTTAAAAAAAGATACTGTATGTCTATACATTTAATTTGACAACTGTCAACTGTCTCCTTGTTGTCTGCCTAACCTTATGCTGTTAGAGCACTCTAGTTATATAGGTATAGTTAGTTAAATTCCATGGTTCTCAACCTGGGGTATGTGTACACCTTGGGGTATCTTGATATGTGTCAGGGGGTACATCAGTGACAAAATGTTGGATCATCAGTCCACTCACCAGATTGTGACATGACTTGGCACAAGAGTCATAATGTGATTGGTGGACAGTGTTCTCCGTAATGCATTATATTATGGAAACAATACATTGTGCATGCAAACCTTGCTTTGGCAATGAGGTGGTTAACTGTCCATGGTTTGGATAAAGAATTTTAAGGGAGATCTCAAAGTCAAAAAAAGGGAAAAACAAAACGTAGGGTCAGGGCCGGCTTTAGGCCTTTAGGCGCCCTGTGCGAGAAAGCTCTACAGCGCCCCTCAGTGACCACACCCCTCCGTGGCCATTTCTCCAATATCCGCACCATTCAAAGACTCCAATTTTGTTAAGCCGCAAAGAAACATATTAAAAAGTATGATAAAAATAAAACTTTTAATCAAAGCTACTAAACTTGTACAGACAATATAAGTATTCTTATTAAATAAAACAACTGAAGGCAAACGTGGTAAACAATAAATGTCAAACTAAAATGGAGTCTATACAAATAAAGTGTCAGGTTGTCATGCCGATCCTTTTTTCAAGTAAGTGCATCTAGAAAAGTAAAAATAAAAAACAGAACACAAAACCTAGACTACGTGTTAAATTAATGAATTACTATTTGTCCGAATGTACGAAAAATGTATTCGGAAACATAATAATTTGTTTGAGAATGTGCGGCGTCCATGTTGGCCACCTGTGCGTTCTGCGAATGCGTGCCACCATCTTGGAGGCGGGAAGCATGATGTCACATGACGCCATGAATGCGTGACGTCAGGTGACGTCACACGCCGATATAGGTAGGTGCCGCCATCTTGGCATATACCTAGATATACACCAAGATGGCGGCACCCAACACATGCATTGTTATATGACGTTATGCGCCCTGCCTCCAGAACACGCCAATGGCTGAATCCAAAATAGCATACAAATTTGTTTTGTTTGATTAAACGAATGAAAACGTTTTTGGTCATCTGAAATTAATTTGTAGTCATTGCACATGTCTAATAATACGTGTGTGTGTGTGGGGGGAGGGTAATTTGCACTTTTCTAAAATAATTTTTTACATGTTTTAAATTATTATTATTATTATTTTTTTTACTGTTGGGGGGCTTTGGGGAAATATTAGGGGTCTAAACAGACCCCTGACATTTCCCTTTTAAAATAGAAAAGAAATTGAGGACACAAAGCCCTCAATTTCTTTTTCTGCAGCCTCTGTTCTAAATGAATGGAAAGCACTCAGTACAGAGGCTTCCCATTCATTCAGAAACTGCTGAAAGTAAAATATTATACTATCACCAGTTTATGAATGGGGAGGAGCCTCTGTACTGAGTGCTACTTCCCATTCAAAAATTCATGAATGAACAGGAAGTGATCTAAATCACATCCTGTTCATTAATAAATGTGGACACATAGTGCTATGTGTCCCAAGTTATTTACAAACATTGGAGTGTCCTTCACACACAGAGGATCGGTAAATGTCACAGATATTTACCGATCCTCCGCTCGGCCACGCACACTGACAGGATGACAGCGGCTGCTCTCTCCACCCCACTCGGCCGTCCTGAAAGCTGCAACTTCTCTCCGCCCCGCTCGGCCAACCAGACCCTTAATCCAAGCAGTGGCCTGGCAGAGTAGGAAAGGGGGGGGAGCAAGCACACCCCCCCCCCTCTCTCTGCTTCCTCTTGGAAAATCACCTTGTCCCCATGCCAATGAGGACAAGGACCTCTTCCCCACAACCCTGGGCCGGTGTTTTTTTGGGGGGTCTGCAGACAGGGGGATTCATATGCAATTGGGTACCCCATTTCATAAAGCTCACTGTCCAATCCCTCGTCCCCCCCCCCCCTCTTGGAGATAATATACTTACCATGTCCACAATCATGAATGAACAGGAAGTGATGTAGCCTTTGCTGCACAAAGAAAACCCTCTTGGAAGTGGAAGTGAGGCACCAGGAGAAAGATATGTTTTTTTAATGGCAGCTCCATGGGGTACCAGCACACCTAAAGTTCATTTTGACTTTAGGTTTACTTTGACATACACCTATTGTTGGAGAACTACGTAGGCTTACATTGCTCACTTCTCAATCCTAAAATGCGAGTTGCCTGGTAAAGAAAACTATATATACTATTTGTGGTGCAGAAAACCTCTAATTCAGTGTGAGTGTTATATAACCACGTGCATAACACCCTTTGTTATCTGTAAGCCTAAACTTTAAATGTTCAACATGAAAATAATAATACATATTAATAAAAATGAAAAAAGTTTATAAATCAAATGTCTTTAGTGTCTTCAATCTTTTAGAAAGAGTGACAAAACTGAACCATCTTCATACCATTATCACCTCCAGAAAGGCCTGGAGCACATAAAAAGAATTGTGAGGAGGGATAGCATGACAGGGGGAGAAGGGGAGCCAGATTGAGAGGGGTTAATCTCTAGATGAAAGAAAGGGGGTAGGAGAGGTTGCTTACCTTATTGGCTGGAAGTTTTGACTTCTTAAAAGGCGATCTGGGGGGAGATGGGAGGAATTTCTCAGTTGAAGAAGGTGCAGTCAGGCAAGCTTGTTTCCCCCTGCCCGTTCAAGTTCTTTTTTTTGTTTTGTTCTGTCGTTTCCTTTTTGTTGTAGGTGTTTTGGTTCCGCTGGCTTGTCACGGCAGTCTGTTAGCGGTTCGGGGTCTTTGAAGATGGACTGGGTGCCTTGTGTATTGGAATAACGGTTGGGGACCCATCCTAGATGTGGTGTCCTTTAAGTGGTGGTCAGTTGGTTTGACCACTTCGTTTTGGGCTAAAAGGGTCTGCGGTCAACAGATATTTTGTCCCTGAGGCGATGGTGTTGCGGCTGGGGGCCCATCGTTATTTATCTGAAACTGCAGATGCAGGTTATGGGGTGTTTTTTCTTGTTACCTTGGGTGCCTTCAGGGACCCAGAAACCATTTTTTTAGGGTATAGCCGTGTTATTTTGTTTAATAATATTTGGTTATTTATATTGAATTAAACAACTGGTTGATGTGGCCCTTTTGAAATATATACAAGTCTAATGTGATTTTTTGGAAAAATGGGTGATGGGTGGGGGTTTCAGCAAGTTTAAGTGGGGTTGTTGGTTAAATTGGCTTCCTCTGAAATACCCTTGTCAAGTGTTTCTTATATGTGCATCAGGTGTTTGTCCCGTATTCCTGAGTGTACACACACTTGCCCACCTTTTATATAATTGATCATAACTAAATACAGGGGTAATGACTTGGCTGTTTCCAAACCGTAACCCTTCTGCTTCCAAGCAGTAATACTTCTAAATCATCCGTGGGAATGATGGTGCTCAAGTGTAATAGAAAAAACAACACATAGCCTAACTCAGTAAAAAATGTTGAGAACTTAAAAGACATAAAAACTACTCACATAAAACCTCTGGTACGCAAAGACCTAGTCAGACCCTTACAAACCGGGAGATGTGACCATCTGGATAAACCACTGGACAAAGCTTCTCTCCCCTCCGCCTGTAGTTGCCAGTATCCTGTGTCACTGTACTTCCAGGATAGACTCCATCTTGCAAGTGCAGTGGCACATGATACTGGTCTGAAGATGGTTCTGTTTTGTCATTGTTTCTAGAAGATTGAAGACACTAAAGAGATTTATGAACTTTTTTATTTGTATTATTATTTTCACGTTGGGCACTTTAATTTTATGCTCACAGACTACAAAGGATGGTATGCACACGGTTATATAATATATTGAATTAGGTTTTCAGCGCCACATTTATGTTTATATCGTTTTGATTACTGTTTCTGTATAAAAATACAGTTTGTGTTGGCTGCTATAGGTTTGTATTTAGCACAATAATAAACAGTGCAAAATAATCATTCTTAATTGTCTGGTAGTGGTGCTAATGATTTTGATTTAATACTGTATGCAGGGCCAGATTTACTCACTCTGCTGCCTCAAGGCCAGGTTCCTCAATGCGCCCCCCTACCCGCCAAACCTTCCCCCAATGGAGAATGGCAGACCTGCAGGCTACATGCAAGCAATCTTGATGACATCACCAAAATCACTTGTACAAAACAAGTGGCTGTTCATTTAGCTCTGCTTGCCCAAAGCAGGGCTAAATGTAGAAAACAACTGCCTGCCCAGTGCCCAGGACTGCATGTCCCGGCCATCGGGGGATAGGAATTCCACACCCATGTCCCCTCTACTCCTTGCTGCCCGGAGGCCAGGCCTTGGTTGGCCTTGTGAGAAATCCGGCCCTGGCTGTATGCATCATCATTAACCCAGAACAAGCAGAGCGATACGTAATTCCAACTTTTTTCTAACTTTCCTGTGCTTCATGCTTCTCTCAGACCTGTGACTCAAAAGTCAACCAGCAATTTCAAAGGGAAATTAGTGATTTTCCAGCAAGCTAGCAAGCCTTTGCGTTTGGTGATAAGTGCTTCTTATGGTTAATAGACCCATGTGACTGTGTTATCACCCCTTGATCAGTATAACATGTATTTTTCTATTACTGTAATTCAGTATTTTTCTTCACCATTTTTCCTTCTTCAGTCCCGTTATTCTCATGCCAGAGTCTTCTGTTATTGCAGATGGCCCAGAAAACGTGAATATCAACGTCCGCATAATTTCAGCTTCTTCAGTTTCTTTAGAATGTTCTGCTAATTCTGTCCCACCGTCCACTTACCATTGGAAACGAAATGGGACAGATATAAAGGATAAGCCAAATCCGCTGCAAGTAGATCAAATGAAGGATGAGGGGACTTACACATGTGTGGCGACTAACTCGGTAACGAAGCTTACTGCCACACATTCTACATATGTGAATGCAACTATTGGTAAGTGCATGAACATGTTTTCCAGGGTGTTGTGAAACTTTAATGCGAAGAAGAAGCTTGCATAAAAAGCTTCTGAAGAAAGAGCTACGCTTGTTTCCCAAGGCAGCTACACAGATTACGTGCAAGATCTGTGCTTCCTGCAAACAAATATTAATGCTCTGTAGGTTTGCCAACTTAAAATGAATGATAAACATTTTTTTTCTCTTTGGATAGGATGGGGAAGGGTTAGAGTCTCTATCAGGTGTGTAATACCATGACCCCCACCATTATCATTGGAAGTGAAAGGGAGGTAAAACAGAACATTTTGAGTTATGCCTAGAACAGGAAAGATGGGATATCTTTCAATGAGAACATTGGTTGTGGTGACGATTTGGAGGGAATTTCTGTTACTTTAGAGAAACAACCTCTCCATATCTTGTGACTTGGGATAAGAAGTGAATAAAAATATCCCCAAGGGGACACAACAAAAAAATAAACAAACCCCCCCCTCCCCCCCAAAAAAATAAATATTTTACAGGGGTTTTAACCTTCCCCACTACTTCCAAAATAATAATTTAAAATGTTTTGGATTTATATACACTTGACTTTTGCCCTTCATTAACCCCTTAATAAGAAATAGTTGTGTTCCCTCTAAGTAAGAAATACCAAGATAAGTACTGTTACAATGAGCAGCTTATAGATTTTTGGAGACAATAGAAACTGTAGAACATACAGGTTTGGTGGGTTTCTTATTTACAAGAGTTTTCAGAAGTATTGCACATAAACTTGGGCTGGTGGGCAGAACAAATTATAATTAATCGTTTACAATAATAAAAATAATAAATTGGGTAATTTATTTTACATATTTATTTCCATTTTCATATGCTTATAAGTTAAAGGGTATGTATAGCCAAAACGTTTAATTTGCGCTTTGGATAGAGTAGGGAAGGGTTAAAGTGTATTTTCACTTTTGCAGGTGGATTTGAGAAAAACCCCTCTATATATTTGGTATGTGTTCCCATTTACACAGCATAAAGAAAAATAATGTACTTTATGTTTTGTTGCCTTTTAGATGTTTCTGCGGCGAAGACTGCAGACTGCATGATTCTCTCTACATTTTCAAAGTGACAGGCAGCTCTGTCTGTCCCCATAGAAAGACTAGCGACAGTCTAAGCTTCCTCTCATTAATATACAATGCTTCTAGATTGTTAAGTCTTTATCAGGACATACAGTGTACAAATCTAGTTTACAACTGATAATGAGATCTTCCAGCACAGCCCCAATATGGTAATTAAGACCAGAGACGTGTGGTCAGGGGAGGCAGGTGGGGCAGAGCCTCACCTAGTATTATGGAGGAAAAAGCTGTCAGCTTCAAGTCTGAAGCTGACAGCTTTTTCTCCATTCAGATCGGTTTCTAGCAGGTTACACAGCAGTGAAAGCCTCCCCGCTGTATAACATGTCATGGATGGAGCTGCACCCGGCATTTGACAGGTAGTTAGGTTACACAGCAGCAGGCTTCCCCACTACTTGTGTAACCTAACTAGTGAGCCAAGAGCTTTCACAGCCTTTACTCTTTTTGTTAGAGGCTTGAGCTCTGTGGATGGTTTGGACCAATGGCAAAGAAAAAAAAAAAACACTGAGGCCATCGATCTCGATGCCTCAGCAGTGACGAGCAAGTGAGGGACAGGGTGGCTCCTCCCTGTCTCATCCCTTCCTCCTTCACACTAGCTGGGGCTTCGCCGGGATGTGGGCGGGGCTTCAGCATGCTGGGGGCATGGCTGAGGAATGCCTCACCACGAAGCGAAGGTACCGCATGTCACTGATTTAAAACAGCCATTAACCTCCCCACCAGAGGAAAATTTAGTTTAGAGAAACAAAATATTTCCAGAAAGAGCAAGTAGTATGTAAGCAGCATTTTTTCTATTTTGGTTATGCTTTGTGAATGAGAGCATGTAATAAATATAGCAAACGTGTTCTCCCATTTTGGGTGCAAAAGTGGAAATTTACTATAAAAACACTGATCAGGTTATCTGTCGGCACTCTGTTGAGGAGGTTTAATTTTTTTTCCTGTTCTGGAGATGCAAGAAGAAGTAAGATGAAATCTCTAAAAACTTAAACTGAACATTACGCAAATTTCAGCTGGCTCTTCAGTAACCAGACATGATTCGCACAGTGGGTGCAGCTGTCGGCACCCTTTCGGCCAGCCTCCGTCAATTAGCTGATCGAAAGGGCAGTTCAGAATATTTCTGAATGAACAGAGTCGGCAGCCAATGAGCTGCCAGCTCTATTCGGGTATTCTGACAGCTGCTGCCGGCAAAAGAAACAGTGGGGATTTCTTGATCAACGTTTGTATGCGTTGGTGGAGGAATCTGTTCTATTTTTTCTTTCAGCCCATGGGCTGAACATTAAACAAAAAAAAATTAGAACAGTGTATGGTCTGCTTTAGGCAGCTGTCACCGGAAAAGGTATCCCCCATTGGAAAAAATATAATCTCCTCTTTTTCCGATACAAACTGTAAGCTTTTGGATTTCCCAAAGCTTTCTGTCTCTGTGACAATGTAAAAAGAATTGACACGGGTTCTAATTCTTCCCTACTCTATCCAAAACCTAAAATAAAGGTTCTAGCAATGCATACACTTTAACACACTGTTGTTGTAGCATGTCCTTGCAGCAATTATTAAACTATAAGGGATATGGCCATTGCTACTGCAGTAGGCATGCTGGGAAGGGGGATGTTACAGGTATAACATTTTCACAGAGTGCTTAAAGTGACACTAAACTCAGGTGTTAAATACTAAAAAATGCATTCCAGCACCTTAACTATTAACAACAATTTACAACAATGTATCTTATTTGTGTTATCACTTGACTGAAGAGTTTAGTGTCGCTTTAACTATTTTAATGGCTTGATGTATCCAGCATGAAAAAGACCAGCTTCAATCTATTTTAAAACTTAACTTGTTAGAATTTGTGTGTTTGTTGGTGACTCAATGATGACCTGTGAGGACTCATTCTCACACACCGTTCTTGTTAAATCTGGACGTTTGATTTTGTATAATTGATCAGTGGAACTTGACAATAGCTTGTAGATTTTGCAGCCTCAGTTTTTTTTCCACTTGTAAAGGTCTTCCTGAAAAAACACAGCATATTCATCTATATAGTTGTTTGGTTCAATTATGGATTTATCTGTAATACTATTCCTATCTGAAAAGAAGGTTTTGTCATCACCAGATATATTGTATACCATGTGACAAAACAATTTTAATTCATCCCTTCCTTTTTGTAGAAATTCTGCCAATTGTTTTTTTTAAAGCTGACTTTCATGCAGATAGTAAAAACGTCAGTTTAATGTAGTTATCTGTTCATAAAGGGTTACTACAATTATTTTAAAATGTCCCTGGTGTAAATGCTTCAATTTGACTTTATATCAGACTCTTGTTTGCTCAACAGCACCCACAAACGGCAAGGTAGGGTCAACACTAGGTCCAATCAGGCTATTCCGCATTCACATGTGTTAATAAGGAACATGCTAACAGGAGAAGAAAGCAGAGTACTGAGTCATTAGACTGCTGCATTTTCTTTACTATCCAATCACAGTGTTGGGAGCATGTCTAAAGGTGCCCATACACCTTACAACCATCGCAAGACTTTTGTTTTCCGATGGTTGTAAGCTAATTAAAAGCTCATACGATCTGCCCATCTTGGACAGGCAGATCGTACTTGCGATCATTGAAAGCCCACCCCGCTGAGGGGCGGGCTTCCGATAACCCCTCAGCGGGATTTCCCACGATTATCGTACGATAATCGCAAGGTGTATGGGCACCTTAATGCTCCTATGCCTGTTGCAACCAGCTGTGGGCTAATGAGCCTGACCATACACCCTCAGCACCTCTCCATCAGCTGTGGGCTAATTGCCTGACCATACACCCTCAGCACCTCTCCATCAGCTGTGGGCTAATTGCCTGACCATACACCCTCAGCACCTCTCCATCAGCTGTGGGCTAATTGCCTGACCATACACCCTCAGCACCTCTCAATCAGCTGTGGGCTAATGAGCCTGACCATACACCCTCATCCTTGGGATTGGTTAGTGGCACTCTATTGAAGCATCGCAGGGCCAGGGCTCTGGGTCTGCACAAGCCTTTATCCTACCACTGTATATCTTGTATCCAAGTCCTATCTTGAATCCTGTTCCTGTCTTGTATCTTGTTTTCTGTCTCTGTCTTGTATCTTGTAACCAGTCAGTACTACTGCTCTGCACCCGGGTCTACCTGTGACATTTATAGCCACAGTACATGGTCTAAGTCCTGGGGGCAAGTGAGTACCAGTAGGCACACTTGCCTTATGGGAATGAAATGCTTTGTGGCAGGGCTGTACATCTCTGGAATGAATAGACATAAATACTAGTCCTTTGTCAGGTAAAACAGCTCCCATAAAAGGCTTTAAATGTGTATTTAACAAATTGCTTGGAATTTGCTTTTGGATGGAAATGCTAAGAAACTCTGTTGTGTAGTGTCACTACCTGTGTCCCTGTTAAAGATTTCCACTAATTTCCTGTGGGGTCACTAATCTACGAAGTGAGGCAGGATCTTTCCCATGGAGTTCTATTGCTCCTAGCAAGCACATTGTCCATAATTTTCCATAGAAAGAATAGTAAGTGAAAACATATGACTGTTGTTATGGGCAGCATCACTAATTATTCTCCTTCACTTCCACTCTGGTCAACAGGATAGGGAGTGAATAAAATCTCTCCAATGTAGACACATACATCAGTAAAATAACATAAAAACATTTTAGCCAAGTCAAGTTTAGAACTTTTTGTTGCTGTCTATGCCTGTCCCTCTGGGGAGTTTTCACCCACTCCCTTTGTGGTCATCCCTTCTGATGTGCACTTACTATGGTGACAGTAAACTTCTGTGGTCCATGGTCAATTGAGGCTGTGGTGAATGCAGCCTAGCTGATATAAGTGTCTGCATGTACCTCAACTTCTTTAAACGTGACCGGCATCATTCACACATTTTA